TTTTAGATTACAATAATGCGTAAAATCACTCAAGAGCAGTGAAGTGAGGAAACATCGTAGACGATGAAATACGACCTTCTCTCAGCGGATTCGATTCGATGAAATCGCAGGTCGCATTTAAACATTCGGTTTTAAGTTTGCCGTTCGAGCGATATGCGAGGCGATTGCGTAGTTCACTTGGCATTCCGACGCGAAAACCATGCAGTGAAAACTATTCCGTCGTTTAGCAAATATGCAAACCTATGAAATGCAGTGCAGTAGTGAAATTGGTCCGATCGTGACTCGAGGGTGGTTTCGAAGGGCATTTTGCTCCAGGGTGACGAGTCTAGTCGACGATGTCAACCGGGCATAAACGGCTTTCGATGAGCCCGGAAATTCATGAACCTCGAGTCACAACTCGAAGATGTCGGGGGAAACGTTACACGAAAAAAGCGTGATTGGCGGCGCTGCGGATCTCTCTCATTTTTTGCGCACATTACTGGTACCGCTATGAATGGGCACAAATCAGCTGTCGTTCAGTCGACACAACAACATTGCGTCAACGTTGAGCGAATATTGGTTTTCCGACGTGCCAATGTTTTCACAGCGTTATCATGTAATCATAACACAGCGTTACCATGTTATCAGCGTTATCATGTTACCGCAATATTGAACAATTGCTCAACGATGTTGAACAGTTCAATATTGAAAATACCCTCATGTGCCAAGTCGTGTCAGATCTGAATTGCAAACGTCTCCGCATAGCCTCCTCATTTTCTCGAGATGGAACATCCGCTGATAGGCCTATAACAGTTTCCTGGAAATTCCTCATATAGGAATCGATCTGTTCTGCCTCTCAGCTCAAAAGTACTCAAGAGAGTACTGAAAATTCCATCCCGCGGTTCGTTCCTTGCGCGACTATAACTTACTTTCCTGGATCAGAATCCTCGTGTTTTCATCAATCGATCAATCATTACGTCCGGCAGTGGAATTGTGTGACTGTTACCATCTTTCAGACGATCCCCCTTCTTTCCCGGCGAGGAATCGGGCCCAAACTCACAGGCGGTTTTAAGATTCAGATTTAGAGATGCAAGAGATGCAAGAGATGCAAGAACTCGGGTTAAAACGAGGGCTGTGGAGAGAAGCGGGAAGTTGCCACGTGTTTGCTCGGACAGCCGAGCCAGGAGCACCTCCAGTCTCCTTCCGTGTTCCCTTATGTCGGATCCATCGGAAAATTCCGAAGCCTTCCCCTGAGTTGTGCGTCGGAAGTGATCGCGAATTTTGTGAAAAATAACGGGGACCCATTCCAGTAACGCCGGGGGTAGGGGGGAGGCGGTTATGCGCCGTCTCCTATTAGGTGGTGGAACTTATCTGTCGGGATTGTGCTCATGAGTACACATTTGCGCCACGTTGACGATTTTTGCCGAGGCCGCGTGGGCAACTCCATGTTAAAACATCACTGGCTATGTCCGGCTATGAGACACCCTCTAAGTAAAAACTAGTATTTTTCGAGAGGTTTTCATGAGATCCTTGAGAGCTACTAAGAGAGATACTAGAGATTCATTATGTCGGACACCACAAGGTTAGATAAGACAGTCGTACGATATGGAGTCAGAAAAGAGCCAATGGTAGCTTCCGTCGCACGATATATAGTGGCGTGATGTGTGTGAAAGATCTCGAGTGCTTACGTGCACCCAGCGAAGACACCTGCACTCCCTCGATATTGTGTTGCCTCCTTGCGATCGAGACTTCAGTTCGAATCTGGCGATCGTCCGGTGCTCAGGGAAGACGAGGGGTTTATTCCTATGGATGGCAAAAGCTAAATGGTCTTGATACGAAGGGCAAGCTAAACTCCAGCACTCCGCTCCGCTCTCATCGCAGGTTTGCCTCCCGCGGGGAACAAATGTGACACGGACCTATATCCGGAAAGCTTTTAGTAAACATTCCGGCAAAGAGAGGTTTATCAAACCGGCACAGCGAAGGATTTCGTGTTTCCTCTAGAACTCTCCATTACAAAGATCGCTTTTGATGTAAAATTTTTTACCGAGTGTCACATTTTTACTTGTCACCCCTTCAAAAGGAGAAAAAGAGTTTTCAGTGATATTGCATGCTCATGCAATCATACTTATTGCTTTGTGTTTGGTCGCAAAAAGTAGCTTATTTGAAGTTATAAATGGGAGGAGCCTACCTTCACCATACCACGGTGGTTCCTTTTTGGAACCACATTGTGATTTTGAGAGAAGACACCATTCTAGCTCGGTCATAACCATGGCAGAGGAAACATCTCTTTCTTTGGTCGTTTGAAAAACTTAGGATGGGACCGTGCGGTCAAGTTACCGTGCGTTTCAGATGTTTATTTTGGCTAGCTTTAACTTTGGTTAACGTTAAATTTTTTGGCTAATTTATCAATTTCTTTTTCAAAAAATGCCACGCGACCCGACAGGGCCTAATCGCCCTCAATCCTGCCGTTTCGAAATAATCGTTTTAACTAAGATAAGTGCTAAGTACTAAGATTAAGCTCTGCGGACTTCAGAGAGACCGATCTCATTTGAAATGGCTTCAGAAATACTTTCTAATGATCGATGAAATGCACCACTCCGAAGAAGACTGATGGTCAGTCGGAGTGAGAGTGGGGAGGGATTTTACCTTCTCTTTAATGGTGTTCAAAAAGAAACGCAACCCATTGGAGAATGCATATATCATTGTAACACATTGCGTTTCTTTCTGTTTCGGTGATCATTAAATACAAGAATGGTGTTCAAGAAAGAGTATCCATTGTTGAAAGTTAAATTAGGAATCAAAGTTATTTACTATGTTACTATGCACTCTCCAATGGGTTCTAACATGCATTCTCCAATGGGTTGCATTGTACCTTTGACCCTGCAGTTTTAAAACTGATTCGTCAACTGTAACTGAGGAACGAATGGGTGTCTATAAAGACTGACTTTGACGATATCTCCGATTCTCGCTCTATTGCAGGGCAGTCATGGTCTCAGATGAAAATAAGTTATTAAAATTCAGCTGCATGATTAAGCTGAAAATAGGACATACTCGCTGGATGCAGACAGGAAACCAATGTCTTTCTTAAACGATGTCCCTTTAGGTTATTCCGGCCGCTTTTGGCATGGCTTTACAGTTAAACAGTTAGTAATGGCACGTTAGTGAAATGGCAAGAAGGAAGAAGAAAATGAATCAAGCATTTTCGCAAGTCACACTCGTCCTACATTCTTAGGACTGTCGGCAGGATTTCAGGTTGGCAGGGAATATATTAAAGAAAGTTTAAAGTTTTACATTCTAAAACACCTTCAGGCGGGCGTAGGGACCTGTGCAGCAAACGCTTCGATAGGGGCTGAGTGTGCTTACCTCTAGGGTTTTGCAACCTCGTGTAGACAGACGGCGGGACTCGCCCGTCTCAGTCGGTTGGCCCATCGAAGTGATCGAGACTCTTCTTTCCAGATTACGAATGTCATAATATCGTACAAATCATAACATCGTCTGCTGAACTACAACAATGAGGACTAAATGGTGCCCCACCATCACCGTAGTATTCGGTGTAGTTCTCGCTATACTAGGGCTTCTCTTTAACTTCATCTTCGGTCCCATCGTCTTCGAAAATCAAGTCAAGAAGGTAAGAGGCGGCTTGTCGATCCAATTCGGTTATCAGATGAGTGAAGAAGTGCGGAAATCCACAGTTTTCTCCTTTTTTTGCAGGAAATTCAGCTTGTGGATGGAACGGAAGCAATGTCGAACTGGCTGGATCCTCCCGTCCCGATCTACATGAAATTTTGGCTCTTTAACGTCACCAATTCAGAGGAATTTCTCGCTGGAGGGCAACCTTTGAAACTGGAAGAGATCGGTCCCTATATATTCAAGTAATGGAAGGGGGAGGGCAACATGGGTCATTCCATATAAAGTCAACGCAAAAAAATATTAATTGACGGGAGCCCATTCGATTTTGATGACTGAGCAGACATACTGGGTCTACTGTGAAACTAATCTATACCAAATTTCAGCTCCCCAGGTCAATTACTTTTTGTGGTACGGCGATTCGAATATTGCCAAAAGAAAGCATATTTCTGGTCCGGTGGTGGTCATCCCTCAGGTATTCATTAGCTTCGGCGTGATTAATAGAGATGGAATAAAGGAATTCTTGCTGCTATTTTAAAGATCTTTCCCAGTGTATGCCTTTGATGGTATTCAAAAAAGAGGAAAAGGTCAAAGGTGAGACCAATGAACTTTAATTGCGGGAAAAGGACATTCCATACGGAACGACCCACACATCTTTCAGCATTCCCTGTACAGATCCCAAGACTGAATATTTCATTTCTCTTCCATCTTCCAGGGAAGAAATGAAGAAGGACGTAACCGGGAGGTTTGACAATGGCACATTGGAGTATATGGAAACGACGACGTTCGAATTCGTAAACGAAGGATCGTATGGCGATCAAAGCGAGATGATCACCTTCTTCAACGCACCCGTTTACGTAAGTGATGCCGATTTTTTAACTCCAGAAAATTCCTAGTTCTTGAGTTACCATATGACAAAAGTAGTGCATTCTTCATCGCTGCAATTAGGTTACGGAATGATTTGAATGTTACTGACATGCAGGAAAGAACTTTCATATACCTGCCGAGAACCCCATCTAGTAGGTCTTAATGAATTCTAGCTTGTTTTTAATCAGAGTTTTCATTGAAAGATTGTGGCAAGCCGTTTGAAATAAGATTCCAGGCATTGATTTCCCTAAAATCTCTCTACAGTATAATCATGGAGAACTGGTCGATTCTATGAGGAGTGTTTTTGATATTCACGCAACATCAAGTACTTGATTGTCAGGAAGATAACGAACATTAGGTGCACTGGTGGTGGAGGGGGGAGGTAGCTCCACAGTCAGGCCTCGATTTTAACCTGTTCAAGGCACCATTCGAGAGGTCATATAAGACAAAAAATTAAAACACGCTGGAACAGGAATATACGTGCAAGTGTACTCGCATATCAACCCTACTTGAGAGGAGATGGGGGGTGAGAATTAATTGGGATTTCGAGGCAAAGTACCTGGTAGCCTATCGAGTCGTCACTAGTCACTATCTTTGAACGACAAAGAGGAAATTTTCCTGGCAAAGTTAGCGAAGGATGAAGAAGTCAAAGTATTCGCAATAACGCACTATCGTATTGGTACAGGGGTGAGAAAGCCCTCTGTAGATAGGGATCGATGCGGAACACGAATTCTTTTTCCATTGTTGTCCTGAGGAAATGCTTAAACATAAAAGGACCAATTGTAACTACGAAAGGAGCTATGCAAAGGAAACGGTTAACCTTGATTCCGACTCCAAATTCACCCCATCCTAGGTCAAATTTTGATCTCCCTTATAATAGCGCCGGCTTTGAACTCACGTTGGTGTGTATCCTAAGGGAAGAGAACAACACCCCATGAAGAAGTACACTGTCAGCAGAAAGGGTTCAGAGTTTAACCTAGGTGAAGGATAAACCGTAAAAAAAACGGTTAGATATCTGTGAATAACTATTTAAAAGAGTTAAATGGATGCTCATTTTAAAGGCGATGAATTCTTTATAATTCGAGCGAAAGGGTTAAACATTTAACTAGGAGTTTTCTAAATCTTATTAGTTGATAAATGAATATCTATGAGAATAGGTATAAATATTTATCTCTTTTGAGGTTAAATATGTGAAATACTGAAAGGGGAAATTGTCTTTCGAGAAAAAATAAATCGTTTCTCCAGCTCAAAAGGACAAAGGTTTTATTTACGCGATCGCCTTTTTTTAGAAGCGAGGGAAAGTTGTGCATATGCAAGGTGGGCCATATGTATCAGGTGGTTGGACTGTCATTCATCTGGTATGTGCATGCGCTCTAAAAGACACGGGACTCATGACCCACCCCGAAGATGAGCCAGTTTCTCACTTTCGTAAAACCCTCCAAATGAATGAAAAAAGGGCCTCTGCATATAAGACCAATTATCAACTATCTCGGAAAAATTTTCAAATAGACCATCAAGAAAATGAATAAATACATCCTTTTTGAGGCTGCATATTTATTCCCAAAGAGATAGTTCTTTATAGAAATCGGATGTTACCGACCAGAGTTCAGGTTTTAACATTTTCTGGGTTAAACAGGAGAAAATGTATAGATGACAGTGAAACACCATTTACAAGGATTATTCGTGCGATGTAAAGTTCCCTTTTAGACTACTAGATGGAGTTATGGTACTACTGTTTCCCACAGTACATAGAATAGTCCGTCCCTCTTTCCTGGGAATCTCCCTCAAAGGTATGTTTTGTCACCTCCCAATTTAAAATCCCGGCTGGAAACAGCCCAAACAACATGTTTATGTTAATTTTACGTAAATTGAATGTAAATTTTTTGTCCATTTTATATCATTTTTACGCAAACTATTGTCAAGATAATGTCAACATGTTTGCATAAATGTCACCTCTATGGTACGTAAACGGTGATATAAAATTAACGCCAAGTTTACGTAAAATTGACATGCCCGTTTGCATTCCCATTTTACGTTGATATTATGTAAGATTTATGTTCATTTCCCCCTAGCACTCATGCGTCTTTTTCGAGCCAACCAACAACAGAATTGATATACTGTATCTCCCATTCCTTTCCATACTTCAGAACTCAAGGGTGGTTGGATGAGTACACTCATCATCAGCACTCAAGAGTGCCAAAATGACCTACGACTTCCTCCTCCCGTACTAGAACCTCGGGAGGAGCAGTATCATAGATATATCAGAGGAGCTCGGAGAGATTTAGGTGTTTCTATCGATGAGGACCTCAAGTTTTCCTCGCACGCGCAAGCGACGGTGGCCAAATGCAACAGGATTCTAGGTTACATTCGTCGGTCGGTTGCGAGTAGGGCATCTCGCGTTATTCTTCCGTTGTATGCGGCGCTGATAAGACCCCAACTGGAATATTGCATCCAGTTTTGGAGGCCT